CTTCCTTCCTTCCTCCCAAGTCGCCCCGTCTTCTGTGTTTCCTTTTCACGGAAATTAGTATTCTATCGCATGATTTGCCTCTGAGGCTGAGAGTGTGTGACCCATCATTTGAGCCCACAGTGCTCTCTGGATGGAAGTGAACTTTCAACTACTACTATTAGTAGTAGTAGTAGTACTCAAAGCCTGCTCATGGGCTGAGTGACGCACTGCCTTCAGGGCAAGAGGGAATCTTGGGACATGCAGAGGATGGTGTGCATTCCAGGTTGGGCTTCCCCTTTAATGCTCCTCTGCAGCCAGGTGTTCTGCTATGTTTCCTTCCCAAATATCTCTCAAGGACCCTTGATTGGATCCAGACCAGCTGGGGAGGGGGGGGCGGAGGGGAGGGAGGGAGGGAGGGAGGGAGGGAGGGGGCTCCTCAATGGCCTCCGCCCCCCACAGCTGCGCCAGAGCTTCCTTCCTTCCTGCCAAGGGAGGAGAACTCAGCAGAGTTCATGGCCGTGTTCCAGAAGCATTCTCTCCTGACGTTTCGCCTGCATCTATGGCAAGCATCCTCAGAGGACCTCACAACCTCAGAGGGTTGTGCAGGCAAAACGTCAGGAGAGAATGCCTCTAGAACATGGCCACAGAGCCCGAAATAAACCTACCACCACCTCAGTGGAGGTTCCCGCTTGCAAGAGTGACCGCCAGGCCATCTCTGAGTGGGAGAAGGGAAGAGAGCACGGAGCGTGGCCTTGGGATGACCGCAAGAGGTTCCCCAGGTCAACAGGCTCTCCGGGCATCAACGAGATGGCGACAGCGATGCGTGATGGCAGCGGGGAGCCAGCGGGGCTCCATGTTGCGTTTCTGAGGGCAAAAAGGGTGATTCCCGGGGCGGAGGGGTGAGCGGAGCCAAAGCGGAGATAGCCATTAGACTCAGGATGAGGCCAGAGAAGAACGGCGCCGGTTCTGGAGAGAGGAACTCAGTCTCGGCCTCCCCGGGATTCTGGAATCGCACCCACCCGGGAGAGAGCAAGTTCATGCCCAGAATGGTTTGGAGGCAGGAAAAGACACACAGTGGAAGGAGGGAGAGGAAAGGAGAAGGAAGGGAAGGAAGGAAGGGGAAGGGAAGAGAAAGAGGCAAGGGGAAGGAAGGAAGAAAAGAGGGAGAAGCCTGGTCTGGCCAAGTTTGGTCCAAATCCATCCTTGTTTGAGTCCACAGTGATCTCTGGATGTAGGTAAACAACAACTCCAAAACCAAAGGACACTGCCCACCAAACCCTTCCAGTGTTTTCTGTTAGTCAGGGGAGAACTGTGTGCCAAGTTTGGTTCCATCGTTGGTGGGGTTCAGAATGCTCTTTGATTATAGGTGAACTATAAATCCCAGTAACTACAACTCCCAAATGTCAAGGTCTATTTCCCCCAAACTCCACCAGTGTCCACATTTGGGCATATTGAGTATTTGTGCCAAGTTTGGTCCAAATCCATCCTTGTTTGAGTCCACAGTGATCTCTGGATGTAGGTAAACTACAACTCCAAAACCAAAGGACACTGCCCACCAAACCCTTCCAGTATTTTCTGTTAGTCGGGGGAGAACTGTGTGCCAAGTTTGGTTCCATTCCATCGTTGGTGGGGTTCAGAATGCTCTTTGATTATAGGTGAACTATAAATCCCAGTAACTACAATTCCCAAATGTCAAGGTCTATTTCCCCCAAACTCCACCAGTGTTCACATTTGCATATGGAATATTCGTGCCAAGTTTGGTCCAGATCCATCATTGTTTGAGTCCACAGTGATCTCTGGATGTTGGTGAACTACAACTCCAAAACCAAAGGACACTGCCCACCAAACCCTTCCAGTATTTTCTGTTGGTCATGGGAGAACTGTGTGCCAAGTTTGGTTCCATTCCATCGTTGGGGGGGGGGGGGGGGGTTCAGAATGTTCTTTGATTATAAATCCCAGGAACTACAACTCCCAAATGTCAAAATCAATTTTTTTGAGTGAAGGACATACATTGGGTTGTTAAGTGTCCAGTGGTTTTTGATTTCTGTTAATCCCACAAATGAACATTACATTTTTATTTATATAGATTTATTTCCTATATTTATACCCTGCCCTTCTCCCCCTGAAAGGGGACTCATGCTTACATATTCCAAAAAAACACTTTCAAAACGACAGAAAATATAATTTTTTTCCTCATTTTCATTGGAACTATTTTATTTTCAGAAATGCTAAAGCTATCTTTTTCTATGTACTCCTATATTGCTTTCCGCAGCCCATGGTTGGGTGTGTGTTCTCCTTTTATTGGGTGTGTTCTCCTTTTATTTATGGCGGCCCCATGAATTTAATAGGGTTTTCTTTGAGAGGAAATACTCAAAAATAGTTTTCTCAGTTTCTTTCTCTGAAATAGAGCACCTGCTATTCATTTGTGGTTTCCCATCCAAATACTAACCAGAACTGGCCCTGCTTAGCATTCCAGGTCAGAGACATTTAATCTTTCATTGACTTTGCCAGGTATTATTCTTCTGTACAGTCGTCTCTGTGACCCCTGTGACCCAACCTGAACAGGCAGTCCCCAAGTTACAAACAAATTATGTAGTTTTGTCCTCACTGAGGGCTGAACAGTCAACATATTCATGGATTCCCTGCTGTTATATTAAGACTTTTACACATGCTGTGACATGCTTGAAATCAAAATTTCATTTATTTGTAATTAGAAATATATATTTCACAATGTATATTACATATTGTTTTAGTGATTCATCACTATGCTTTATGTTCAGATTGTAATAATAAAAATACATCGTGCATATCAGATATTTACATTACGATTAATAACAGTAGCAAAATAAGACATGTGCAGTGTGCATAGGAATTTGGTCATTGTTTTTTTTAAAAACTATAGTCCGGCCCTCCAGTGGTCTGGGGGACAGTAGTCCGGCCCCCGGTTTAAAAGGTTTGGGGACCCCTGGTGTAGAGTTTGGTCCAGAGCCATCATTGTTTGAGTCCACAGTGATCTCTGGATGTAGGTGAACGAAAACTCCAAAACCAAAGGAAACTGCCCACCAAACCCTTCCAGTATTTTCTGTTGGTCTTGGGAGAACTGCGTGCCAAGTTTAGTTCAATTCCATCGTTGGTGGGGTTCAGAATGCTCTTTGATTGTAGGTGAACTATAAATCCCAGCAACTACAATTCCCAAATGACAAAATCATTTTTTGAGTGAAGGACATACATTGGGTTGTTAGGTGTCTTGTGTCCAAATTTGGTGTCAATTCGTCCAGTGGTTTTTTAATTCTGTTAATCCCACAAACAAACATTACATTTTTATTTATATAGACTAGCTGTACCCCCCACGCATTGCTGTAGCCAACCTTCCCTCCCTCTTTCTCTCCTTTCTTTCTCTCCTTCCTTCCTCCCCCTTTCTTTCATTCCTTCTCTCCTTCCTTCCCTCTTTCACTTATTTCATTCTCTCCCTCCTTCACTCCTTCCTTCTCTACCCTTCTTTCTCTCCTTCCCTCCCTCTTTCTCTCCCTCCTTTTCTCCTTCCTTCCTTCTCTACCTTTCTTTCTTTCCTTCCCTCCTTCTTTCCCTTTTTCTCTCCCTCCTTCTCTCTCTCCTTCTCTCTCTACTCTTCTTTCTTTCCTTCCTTCTCTCCTTTCCTCCTTCCTTACTCCTTTCTGTGTATGTGTTTTGTGTATGTATATGTGTGTTTGTGTATATATATGTGGTTTTGTGTGTGCGTTGTATATTTTATATATATATATATATATATATATATGCTTTTTAAGTCCCTTCTGCTGTGTTTTTATGAGTGGTGGTCACTTGTTGGCATGAGAGGTGTCTTGTGTCCAAATTTGGTGTCAATTAGTCCAGTGGTTTTTGAGTTATTTTAATCCCACAAACGAACATTACATTTTTATTTATATAGACTAGCTGTCCCCTGCCACGCGTTGCTTTGGCCCAGTCTGTGTATATGTGCTTTGTGTGTGTATGTGTGTGTGTGTGTGGACATTACATTTTTATTTATATAGATTCTATTATTATTCTATTATTTTATTATTGTATTATTTATATTATTATATATTTAGTATTATATTATTCTATGTTATTATTATATTTCTATGACCCTCTGTGCATGCTCAGGAACAGTAGCCTAGCTTTACAGTGCTGGATTTCTAATTATTATTATTATTATTATTGATGTATTTTTATTTTTGTCTTTTTAAGTCCCTTCTGTTGTGTCTTCCAGTATTTTTATGAGTGATGGACACTCATTGGCCTGAGAGGTGTATTGTGTCCAAATTTGGTGTCAATTCTCCCAGTGGTTTTTGAGTTATGTTAATCCCATTACATTTTTATTTATATATATAGATAGACTAGCTGTCCACTGTCACGCATGGCTGTGGCCCAGTCTGGTGATCTGGAAAATAATGCGAAAGTGTTGGTTTCTAATATATGTAATTTCTTGATGCTTGTCGGTAAACAGTACTTCTTGTTGTTTCTTTGTCAGTGTTGATGTAGAGATTGTCTGGAAGATGGAACATATTATTGTCGTTCTTTAGGGGTCCCATTCAAATCTATGATATTATATCTGTCATATACATATATCTGTGTGTGTGTGAATCATTCATATCTATCTATCTATGGCTGGATGATTCTTTGTCAGGAGGGCATTGATTATGTTTTCTTGCCCTGGTGAAGAGAGTTGGACTGGATGGCCTTAAGGCA